CCAAGGAAATGACTATTTTAAAAGATATTTAGTAATCAAAGAAATCCAATTCCCACTCCCCCCTTTTTTTTCTTTAAAAATCTGGCTAACATCTGTAATCCTAGGTACTCAAGAGGCTGAGATCTGAGGATCCTGCCTGGAAGCCATCCTCAGCAGGATAGTCCTTGAGAGTCTTTTTTTTTTTTTTTGGCCACTTGTGGGGGCTGAACTCTGGGCCTGGGTGCTGTCCCTCAGCTCTTCAGCTCAAGGCCAGTGCTCTACCACTTGAGCCACAGCGCCACTTCCGGTTTTCTGAGTGTTTTATTGGAGATAAGAGTCTTACAGACTTTCCTGTCTAGGCTAGCTTTGAACCAGGATCCTCAGTTCTCAGCCTCCTGAGTAGCTAGGATTACAGGTGTGAGCCATTGGTGCCTGGCTGGTATCTTAAATTCCTTCATGTGAACTCTTCATTCATCTCCTACCTTTTGGTTGCTTTTTGTTACCTTTTGTAGTCATCATTTTTCCTTCCTGCCTTCTCAGCCCAGGATGCTGTAGCCAAGTTGCTGTTTCTCTAGTCTCCTTACATTTGGACAACACTACTTTTGCCGTCTTTTGGCTGCTCTTTATCTCTGAGATTTTCTTTGTTGGCTTTTTCTCAATTGTCTGTCACTGGAAGATGAATGAGGGCTTCTGTCAGCTTTAGTATAATAGGATAAAAGTTGGAAAAAAAATGAAGAGAATAATTTTCTGCTCTTCATGCAGGAAATGGGACAGACCCCATATATATATATATGTATGTATGTATATATGTACTTGTGTGTATATATATATATATATATATATATATAATATACATAGTCTTCGAGTAGTTGTACAAAGGAGTTGTCATTCAACAAAGCAGTTTATGAATAGAATGCATCTTGTTCAGTGTCACTCATTTCAACATTCTTACCTGTCCCTCCTCAACCCACCCTTTCCTCACTTTTCTTAATTTTGTTGTGACTCCCTTCTCTTCATTTGTCCACTCCCTTCCCCATGACCCCACTCTACTCCTTTCATATTCCTGTTTCCTGGTGTTTATTTTGTGAACTATGATTTTGTGGGCTTTTTTTTTTTTTTTTTTTGGTTAGTCTTAGGGCTTGAATTCTCTGGGCCTGAGCGCTGTTCCTGAGCTTTTGTGTTCAAGACTAGTGCTCTACCACTTGTACCACAGCTCCACTTTTGACTTTTTATGGTTAATTGGAGATAAGAGTCTCATGGACTTTTTTGCTTGGGCTGGCTTCAAACTGTGATCTTTAGATTTTAGCCTCCTGTAGCTAGGATTACAGGTGTGAGTCACCAGCACCTAGCTTATTTTGCCTTTCTAAGCAATCAGACTGTTTTTAGTGCTCCCTGAATCTACCATATTTCAGTTAATACATTTGTGTATACTTGCATACTACCCAAACTACTTACATATTTATGAGTGAATTCTAGCTTCCACAGAGAGAAAGCATGCAACCTTTGTCTCTCTGGGCCTGACTTACTTTACTTAACATAATTTTTTTCTAGGTCCTGCCATTTCTTTGCAAATGATGCACACTATCATTCTTTCTTTCTTTTTTTGTCAGTCATGGGGCTTGAACTCTGGACCTGGGTGCTGTCCCTGAGCTCTTCAGCTCAAGGCAAGTGCTCTACCACTTGAGCCACAGCGCCACTTCCGGTTTTTCTAGTGGTTTTTTGGAGATAAGAGTCTCACAGAGTTTACTGCCCGGGCTGGCTTTGAACCTCGATCCTTAGATCTCAGCCTCCTGAGTAGCTAGAAATACAGGCGTGAGCCACCGGCACCCGGCTTATCATTCTTTCTAATAGATGAGTACAATTCTTACATTTTCTTAATCAATTTGACCATCACAAGGCATCTGGGCTGTTTTTATTTCATGGTTATGATGAATAGTGTTACAGTGAACATGGTTGTGTTGGTTACTTTAAACCCCCTCCTTCCGCCCCCCTCCAAACCTAGGGCTTGAACTTAGGGCCTGAGCACTGTCCCTGAGCTTCTTTAGTTCAAGCCTAGCACTCTGCCACTTGAGCCGCAGCACCACTTCTGGCCTTTTCTATTTATGTGGTACTGAGGAATCGAACCCAGGGCTTCATGTTTGCTAGGCAAGCACTCTGCCACTAGGCCACATTCCCAGCCCTTAGTTTGTAATCTTTTTCACTCAAGAGTGAAATTGTTGGATCATAGAGTAGTTCTACATTTAGTTTTTTGAGGAACATTCATACTGCTTTCCAGAGTGGTTGAGCAAATTTACATTCTGACATTGTATTAAGGTTCCTTTTTGCTCACATTTACATTAGCATCTGTTATTGTTTGTATTCTTGATGATGGCCATTCTAACTAGGGTGAGGTGGAGTCTCAGTGTTGGTTTGATTTGCATTTTTCTTTATGGCCAGAGATATCGAGTATTTCTTCATGTGTTTGTTAGCCAGTTTTTACTTCTTTTTCTGAGAAGTCTCTTTTTATAAAGCTTATTAGCCCATTTATTAATTGAGTTGTTGATTCTTTGAGGGTTTAGGTTTTAAGCTCTTTATATTCTGGATATTAGGCCATTGTCTTATGTGTAACTAGCAAAAATCTTCCATTCTGTTGGCTCTCTTTTTTAACTTATTAGCAGTGTCCTTTGCTGTGTAGAAACTTTCTAGTTTGTTTGTTCTTTCTTTTTTTTATTGTGAAAATACCGTACAGAGCGGTTACAATTACGTGGGCAAGGTAATGAGTACATTTCTTTTTTTTTTTGAGTCCGGTCGTGGGCCTGAACTCTGGGCCTGGGCGCTGTCCCTCAGCTCTTCAGTTCAAGGCTAGCACTCTACCACTTGAGCCACAGTGCCACTTCTGGCTTTTTTCTTATGTGGTGCTGAGGAATCGAACCCAGGGCCTCGAGCATGCAAGGCAAGTGCTCTACCACTGAGCCACCTTCCCAGCCCCTACATTTCTTATCAAGCATTGTTACCTCCTCCTTTGTTCCCCTTCCTATCCCTTCCCATCTTACCCCCCCCCAAGTTGTAAAGTTCGTTTTTTGACATAACATTTCATACATCTCATTGTTGCAATGGGTCCACCTGTATCCCTATTTGAAACTTTCAAGTTTGATGTAATCTCATTTATTAAATATTTCTTTGATTTGCTATGCTTCTGGATCGTTACTCAGAAAGTTCTAGCATGTTTTTTTCTTTTTTTTTTAAACTAGCCATCCTGATGGTTAGGAGGTAGTATTTCATTGATTTGCATTTCTGAGTATCTTTTCATATGCTTTTTTTTTTTCCCCAGTCATGGGGCTTGAACTCAGGGACTTGGCGCTGTCCTTGAGCCTCTCTGTGTTCAAGGTTAGAGTGATACCACTTGAGCTATAGCACCACTTCCAGCTTTTTCTGAGTAGTTTGTAGGGGATAAGAGTATCACAGACTTTTCTGCCTGGGCGGGCTATGAAATGCAGTCCTCAACTCTCAGCTTCCCAAGCAGCTGGGATTACAGATGGTGAGCCACCAGTGCCTGGCTTTTCATGTGCTTTTTGATTATTTGTATATTTACTTTGGTGGAATGGCTAAGTCCTTTTTCCAATTAGTTTTGATTGTTTTAGATGCCGAGTTTTAGGACTTAGACATATTTAGACAAATACTGGTATTAATCTCTAATCAAGAAAATAACAAGACTGGAATGTAACTAAAGAGGTAGAGCACCTGCCTGTTCACTGTGTGCTTATTTCTTATTTATTAGCCACTTTCCTCTCCTGTGGTAGTTATTAGCTCCATTTCACAGAGGAGAGTCAGAGAGGTTAATTGTCTATTCAAGACATATACTTAACTAGGTATAGTGGTGCATATCTACAATCCCAGTATTCAAGAAGTTGAGGCAGAAGGATTGTGAGTTGGAGGCCAGCCTAAGTCACATAGTGGGATCCTGTTTAAAAACAAAAACGGTAAAATCATCAACACTACCAAAAGATGTATACATAAACCTTGTGTAATGAATTGGGCTTTGCATCTAGGCCTGACTGATTTCAAGTTCATGCTCTTATATTGCACTCACACTGTATGAAAATGATTTTCCCAAGCAAACAATGTTCCCATAGTATATACATGAATGCATAAAAGGATCTTAGGTCTCTTGATTCCATAGCTGCTTTCCTTTCCCCAGTGTGAGTGAGCCCTCATGCTGTGCCTGGCTGCCTCCTTGGAAACTATCCTATCTAGAAGGCACTTCATTCTTTTTCAGCATACATTTAAATAGTTTGTATTCAATATAGAAAGATTACTTAATCTTCACACTAGCATAATGCTTTTTTCCTGAATTATTTCACATGAATTTGTTGAGCATGTTTAGGGGTAGTCATTGTGCTACAGATGGGTATGATGATAAATGAAGAGATGTGCTCCTCTTTTTTTAACCATAGCAATCTTGGTGTGTGGTAGAGATCATCTGCAGGCTACCCCTCCCCATTGAGGCTACGATGGGAAGACTACTCATTTCTCTGTCTCCTTTGCATCTGGGGCTCAGGTACATGACCTGTACTCAGACATTTACATTATACTTCAACCTTATAACAAGATCTGGTGATTGGAAAAAAGTAGGTAGAAGGAAAGGTTGTTTCTGGTGATAGCAGTGGTAGCTGCAACTCCACTATCCAGGGACTCAGAGAGCAGTAGAGCTGGCAGCCATGTTGAGTGTTCAGTGCTGGCAGTGTAGGTATAGGTGTCTGGGTCTCCAGCAGAAGGAGAGGTAATGTCAACTGCACATTTTTGGTTAGAATTTAATGATATCAGGAAGGCATGAATGTTTTTTTACATTAACTTTGCAGTACTTGATTGTGGAAGATGCTGATTGAGAAAATTATAGAAATATATAAATTTAGGTTTTCAGAAATGAAGCCTTAGAATACCTGGATCTTTGAATCTCTTATAGGAAGCTACTTTCACATTTTCCTGTTTATTGGTTAACTAAGAGTAGAGCATCAAGATGACAGTTGCTTCTTTTGTTCCAGGAAAATGACCCATCTGTGAGACTGAAAATCGCGTCATTGTTGGGTTTATTATCAAAGACTGCAGGCTTCTCACCAGACTGCATTATGGATGATGCCATTAACATACTGCAGAATGAAAGTAAGTTGCAATTTTAAAACTGTGTAGTCAGAGCCAAAATCTTTTCATTCCTTTTGTATAGAAAAAACTTTGTGTTTGTTGTTATTTAAAATGAATTTGAGAAGGGATAACATTGATCATGAAGCATTGTAGCCATCATCTCATTGGAAGTGGAACCTTTGTACAACTACTAATACTAAAGAAGTAAAAATATAAAGAAGAAAAGGAGTTTGAGGGTGATTTAATAACATATCTATGTAGGTTTACATTGGAATGTGAATACACTTTCCTTTCTTGATAGCTCTCCTGTATTGACATCTGCCAAGTGCCCAATGTTTAAAGTACTTTACTTAGGATAGAAGATAGATATTGCTACCCTTGTCTTACTGGTAGACACACTGAAGTTGAGACAACTTAATTCACTAGTTTAGGGTTATATAGTTATGTGACAGAGCCTGTGCTTTCTTCCCTGTGTTGTACTGACTCAGAAGCCAAGGGAATGGCTGTCCTGTTTGTGTGGTCCATCACAATGTAGAGCCCATGGAAGTGACACTGCCATGTCTCATATGCATGTGATTTTTTTTTTTTTTTTGGTCGGTCGTGGGGTTTGAACTCTGGGCTTGGGCACTGTCCCTGCGCTCTTCAGCTCAAAGCGAGCAGTCTACCACTTGAGCCACAACACCACTTCTGGTTTTCTAGTGGTTTATTGGAGATAAGAGTCTCACGGATTTTCTTTCTTGGGCTGGCTTTGAACTGCAATCCTTAGCTCTCAGCTTCCTGAGTAGCTAGGATTACAAGCATGAGCCACCGGCGCCCGGCTATGCATGCAATTTTTTTAAAAGATATTTATTTATTTAGTCAGTCATGGGGCTTGAACTCTGGGCCTGGGCGCTGTCCCTCAGCTCTTCAGCTCAAGGCTAGTGCTCTACCACTTGAGCCACAGAGCTACTTTTGGGTTTTTTCTGCTTTTGTGGTGCTGTGGAATCAAACCCAGGGCCTCATAAATGTGAGGCAAGCACTCTACCACTGAATCACCTTCCCAGCTCGTGATTTTTTTTCTATTAGTTTCTTGTGGATGCGCTAAATCATGTTCTCAGTGTTTAGATGAAGCAGAAAATTATTTCACCTTTTTAAATTTTGGGTTATCTAAATTTTGTGTGTTTAAAAAATTCACTTACAGGGGCTGGGAAGGTGGCTCAGTGGTAGAGTGCTTGCCTTGCATTCCTGAGGCCCTGGGTTCGATTCCTCAGCACCACATAAGAAAAAAGTGGGAAGTGGCACTGTGGCTCAAGTGGTAGAGTGCTAGCCTTGAGGTGAAGAGCTGAGGGTCAGTGCCCAGGCCCAGAGTTCAGGCTCCACGACCAGACCAAAAAAAAAAAAAATTCACTTACAGGGCCAGGAAGGTAGCTCAGTGGTAGAGTGCTTGCCTCACATGCATGAGGCCTTGGGTTCGATTCCTCAGCACCACATAAGCCAAAATAGCCAGAAGTGGTGCTGTGGCTCAAGTGGTAGAGTGCTAGGCTTGAGCTGAAGAGCTGAAGGACAGCACTCAGGCTGAGAGTTCAGGCTCCACAATTGGCAAAATAAATAAATAAAAAGAATTCACTTACAGTGTTAGTGCTTCAGTTGCCTTAAAATTTTCACTTACAGCGTTAGTGCTTCAGTTGCCTTAAAATTAATTAATTAATCTTGGCAATACTGAGGTTTAAACTCAGGGCTTGCTTCTTACTAGGCAAGCATACTATCTGCTCTTGAGCCATGCCTTTTTTTTTAATTTTAATTTTTTTTATTGTGAAAATACTATACAGAGGGATTACAATTACATGGGCAAGATAGTGAGTACATTTCTTATCAAGCATTGTAGCCTCCTCCTTTGTTTACCCTTCCCATCCCTTCCCA